AATTTATCTTTTAACTAGCTTTGCCTTTGAAACTGGTTTCCAAGCTTTCACTGAAATATTCGATTCGTTCGAAGACGAACTTCAATTGGAAAAATCATTCAGACACTTCTCATAAGCTTATTTAATTTGTTGTTGTGAAAAGATTCGTGATTGATACATCTTTCCTTTTCCTTCAAGCCAATGGTTGATATTCTTCACATTTGAGAGACCCTTATAGTATGAAACTTTTGATGTTTGTTTTAATGATGGATTTGGACGTTTTGGATGTTGTGGATTGAAATGGATGTTTGATTTTGGCCGAAAGTTTTCAGATTTTTGACTGTTAACTTTTCTTTCAACATCTTTGTTTTGTGAAAATCGATTTTGAAAATTCTTTGAATGATTTGGAAGATGTGTGTGTTGAAAGTATCGATTCTGATTTGTGAAATTTTTATTTTGAGATTTTGTGAATGAATGATTTAAAATTTTAAATTGAACAATATTTTTCTGATTGTCTAACTTTGTTGTTGAAGTTTTCTGAACAGATTTAGAATTTGTGTTTCAGACATGTTGGTTTTCAAACCTTTTTGGTCCATTCGAGACTCAACAGTTTTCCAAAAAAATTTCTTTCGAGCTTGTCTCTTTGAAATTACATTATCTTTCGAAAACTTTTCAACTTGATCTTTAAATTCCTTTGAATTAATTTTAAAAACTTTTTCAACATTTTTAGCAACTTTAAATTCCTTTTGTTTTTCAACCCATTTTCTTTTTGATGTTTTAACAACTTTTTCATCATTTTCAACAATTGGTTTTTCAACTTCTTTTAAAACCTTTTGTTTTTCAACCCATTTTTGTTGTGGTTTTTGTCTTTGAAAAACATAAAAGTTCTTTGTTAGATTATTTTCGACAGTACTTTGATTTGAAAAGAAAACTTCATCTGATGTTTTCTTGTTATCTTCTTCAACCATTTTTTTTAAATTCAGGGTTGATTTTATCAACATTCCCAGTAGTGACAAACACTTAATTTGGAAAAATAACATCATATGTGCACTTCAAGTTAGGATACACCATTGTATTTGTTTCGAGATAATGAACACCCTTTTCAGTCATTACTTTATCAAATTTTTATGTATCTCCATATACCTGATCAACAACAATTCGTGGAAAAACTATTTCTTTTGAATCTGTTTTTGTTGATTTTGAATTTTTCGAAACTTCATCATCATTTTCCTCATCACTGCTTTCCGTTTGACTATCTCTGACACTCATATGGTTGAAATCACAAACTTTTGAAGTTGAGGGTTTTTCAGTATCAATCTTAACCAATGAATCTTTAAAAATTTATTTACCTTTAGCCTTAGATGTGACATTAATGATAGATAACTGCGAACAATCGATACTTTCCTCCTCCTCAATTTCACTAATTTCGCTAAAACAATTAGAATTATCTTCGATATCAGCAAAATTAGATTGAGAGTCAGATATCAAATTCTCAGTCCTTTTCAAAATTTTAATTTGTTCATTTTTGGTCAAGGTATCATTCACAATATTAACTAATTCGTTTGCATCAAGATATTCGTCAATTTTGACAATTCCATAAGCATATCTATCATTAGAAATTTTATGAAAGTCTGCAATGGTTTTTTCACAATCATAAGAAATGCAACCAACCTTCTCTCTTTCGTAAACTAGAAAAGGTAATAACTTTCTATGTTGTTCCTTGCTTATGTCATATGAATGATGCAAAGCAGTTAATTTGGCATAAAGATGATTAGCAGAATTACAATAGATGTTGTGTTGGGCTAACAACGTTTTCACTTCATTACTCAATGAATCCCTATCACACATCAAATTTGTAATTTGTAATTCTAAATATTCAACTTTTATCTTCTTGGAATCTAACTGCTTCTGTACTTCTAGTAACTGAGAAGTCGATTTCTTAGCTTCGTTACTAGCAGAGATGATCAATGTATCAAATCAAGCAATAGTATCATCAAAAGCAATCAATTCAGAATCATAAGCATTCAAAGCAATATTAAAAGATTGAAGAATAGAACGTACCTTGGTGGTCATTGGAGACTTGTCTCCTCCTTTGGTTGTAAAACAGTGACAAGTCACTACTTCGTCATCTTCCTCCTCATACTTTGCATACAAAGAACCATGCATAGGATTGCATATCTCCTCATCATCCATACCCGAAGACCAAATCTAGTAAGTTACTTCATCATCATCCTCATCCTTCGCCACCAAAGAAATTCCTTTCGCTTTTGCTCGAACTTCCTCCAAACTCTCAACATAGTATGCTTCGTCTTTTATCTTGTTCTTCTTTTCCTCCTTCTTACGAAGTTGACAATCACTAGCCATATAATTTGCTCCATGGCAATAGTGACAATCAATACTAGAATCTCCTTTAAGCATCTTTTCAACTTTTAACTCTTCTTTCTCTACATCCTTTAAGCTTCTTCTTTCTCCACATCCTTCGTCTTTTATCAACGTGATCTACGAGCACTGCCTTCGTGAACTTCAAATTTAATGGAAATAGTACCTCCATCCACCGCGCCAGGGCTCGTTAGTTGGCTTCATTAGTCACTGCATTTGGCCAACGTGAACAGTCAGACTCCCGTTCACATTGGTTAGTCATGATGGGGAAAAGGAGATAACAAGGGTTCTCGAATTCTTAGTTGTCGATCGCCTGCAGAACACAACATTCTCTTAGGTCGGCCTGTGCTTTTCCGATTACAAGCAATTCCATCTACTCTCCCCGGTTTTCTCAAATTTAGCACAAGTGACGAATCAACAACAGTAGTGGTGACCAAGCAAGAAATTGGGCGTGACACCCAACGAGGAGCAAGGCAAGAAACCCATTCACGTCAAAATGAAAAAGTCGCCAAAAAAGAGAAGGCTCACAAAGGAGATCTGCCATGACACAAGTGCCAGTCTACGAGACCAGGAAAAGACGGCGAAATGTGTTCAGTTGGCTCACAATATCTCTCCTACAGGAGGAAACTAATGCCGACCCAACGAGCGCTCAGCCGAAATAAAGAGTGACAAGCATACGGTGAGGAAACGTTGGCTCACAGGCAAAGGCACCTGCTTGGCTCATAATTGACAATCAGGCAATCCCCAGCAAAATAACAATTCGGGCTCTAGAGAAAATCTTAGCCGATGTTATAAATGAACCAAAGCTCCTCAGAACAGAGGGCGCAAGAGAAATAAAAAACTACAATGGAGGTGGAATGTCGTTCTTTTTAACACGCAGTTTTTCCCGTAGAAGAGCACCAACAAGGACCATCGTTAAGCAAAACAGCTTCTCCAGTGATAGCACGAAATCAAGGAGGATAGGTGTATAGAAACGCACTGGTGGTACTCTCACACAACCAAGGGGAGGTACTTCCCACAGTCGAAACACACATTGGGTCGTAAAGAAAGACTGGCGAGAGCACCCCAGGTAGGAAAAACGAAACATAACTCCCCCGCAACGGGCCCCGCTGGGGGAAATGAGAGGAAGCCCCAACCTATGAAGACCCACCTACATCAGGTGTAGAAATGTCGTCACTGCCCAACAAGAAATGTGGCCTAACTCCACACAGGATAGACATACTTCAGGCGCCAAAGAGAAGACCACGCACATGCCCTGAAAATTAGACATTTAGAGTCTATTATCTCATGTCTTTCTTTTTTACTTCCATAAATAATATAATTTGCATTTTGAAAAAGCTTTCCAGAATTCTGTATTGAAAAAATACAAAGTATAGTGGTTGTGTATATTTTCCAAGTAGCAACAACGACTGATCACCTACGCTACTTGAGCAAAATCTTTGTAAGAATGCAGTCATAGATCTTAAAAGAGTCATAATTTTTACCTACAATATGCCAATGACATCTTAGAGCTAAGAATGTATAAATGGCACAAAACGAGGGATTGTAAAAGATTCATAACCTTTCCTCCTGAGAAATGAAAAAAAAGGTCTTGAGATGATGATCTCATCTGATGTAGTGGTAGCTAAACCATACAGTATAGTCAACAACATTGACTACTATTTCACGACTTAACATCATAGCCTAATTAAAGATACAAGTCAGAGGAACATAGCTCAGTAGTAGCAGCTATGCGAAATCTGAAGCACACATTATCAAATTAATGCAAACCCTAGAACAAAGGAACGTGCAAAAACAAATTACAATAGAATAACTCGTCCTTAGAGATATCATAGGACAATTGAAAACATGTGAATACATACGAAAAAAAGAGGGCAAGAGAAGACTTCCATGATAAATACAAAACAGAAAACACACTTTATGGTTATTAACAACCAATGTTTTACAGTATACACGTAGTACATAGAAAAGCAACTACATTACAGAACGGACAAAAGAGGAAAACACAAATCAGCCCTCAGAGTCTGAGGAAGAACCTCCCGGACTTAGTTTGCCACAAAACTGATGGAAGCCATCATAATCTAACTCCCCTAAATAGAAAGGCCAACAAAATCTGCCTCGACAAAGGATGTAAGTGCAATATCGACCTCCTTGGACCTACTCGCCACTTGGCTAGGACCCGGGGCTTCGAATTTACTGGGGCTTCGAATTTACAGGAAGATGTCGAGCAACCGCTCAATTATCTTCACTTCTCAAACCCAAGGGATTCACAAACCTCGCGAACACCCAGGACCTCTTTGGCGAACTCAACGCTCTCGATGACCCTGTCAATCACATGAACCACCCCCATTATCTAACACCCATTACAAACTACCTCGAGCAACGACACCTTCAACACGGGCTCGAGCCAGTTGATGTTGACACCTGGCCAGTTTGTTCGCTAGCACATCTTTCTCTTGAGTGAGAGAGTTCACTTAACCTTGAAGGCATTCTGTTTGGCCCTCCAAAGTGGTTGCATGCTCCTCCAGAATGGCCTTCTTGTAGGACATAATGCAGTTCTGTTCAGAAAGAATGTGATGCTCAATGTCTGTATCATGGACCTTCTCTTTTAGGTTGGCAATGGTACTATTCAAAGATCTCAACTATGCTTCGGTTACACGGAATCGACAAATCAGGTTAGCAACAGCAACCAACAGAATAGAAGCTTGTGCCGCAGCATAACGTAGGTTGTCAGCCACACGAGCCCCCAATTGGCCCATCAAAAACTCCATCGTGGAGGGAGGATGAGCACTTTCCCTCCATTCTTTGGTGGTGGTGTCCTCTGATTGCAAAGACTCCCTAGTAATCGCCCAACTCGGAATATAAGGTTTGAATAACGAAGAGTGAGGTGCAGTTCCCCTTTTGCCTACAACTGGAGACCTCTTCGGCCGAGAAGAACTTCCACAAAAACCTAGCATGCTCCCAAACATAGAGTTGGAACCAAGACCAGTTGAAAGTGCACAAGTAAGCGGCGAAGGTGGTGTTATCGAAGAACCAGGAACCACCATTTCTTCTTTCTACACGGGCACCAAGAACTTATCACCAAGAGCATCCCCGATGCCATCGAGGAGTTTGGCCACACACACGGTGTTACGCCTCTTACGAGGACGGAGGCCCGCATCATTGCATTCTGTCTCCTTTTCTGATGAAAGCACCACACAAAAACTTCACCTTTTTCGAATAGGAGCATTACCTTTGTCTGCCTGTGCTCCTGCAGGCAGACCAGAAGAAGCTGAAACTGTTGAACGAACCGGGGAAACAACCCCGATGGCCGGCTTGGAAGTTGAAGCAGGTCCACTGGAACCAGCATTTCATCCTCCTGTCAAGGGAAGCCCAACAATCTCTCACATGCATCTTTTAGAAATAGGAGGAGGAAGAGTCTCCACCAGATCGATCTCTCGGTGGCAAAGGCCACGCAGGGCCATCTCCAATGAAATCTCGGCTTCAGCACCTGTGAAAGCAAATGCCCAAAATAAGATCTCACGAGCCAATAAGATCTCCTATGCTCACTCTTTTTCAAAAAGAAAAGGTGCGGGAGAAGAGATGACTTAATACCACATCTCACGGTGAACATCTGCGTCATCTTCCCGCGAGCCCTCCATGCGGCACTCATACCGGTCGCTGCAAGAATGACATCTTCCTAATTCTTCCCAACGACAGTAATGTTTCCCAAAAGCTTGCCAAGAGTTAGATTACTCCTGAACAACTTAGGAAGCTGGTCAAGAAGACTCGGGGTTCTACGAAATATGTTCCCTACAAGGTTTCTCTTAACCCATAGCCACTTCCATTGCAATTTTCTTCGAAACATCTTGTTCAAAAATCAACTGATGAATGTGTATTCTCTTTGCTAAAGTTCAGACTCCATTCATGGCCAAAAAGAAAAATAAACTGAAAACCCATAAAGTTGGCACGTAACCTAGAGATTATCAAATATGTTCAAAATCGACGATTTTATTAACAACGCTCGGGGTCAAGTCGTCGACAAAAAGGCCATAGTGGTCCACAATCATATTGAATAAATCGGATGTCGGCAAGCGTAACCCCATTTCAAATAGAGGGATTGGAACCCCCACCTTCTCTTGAGGACAATCATAGATCGATACCCCCTTTGCCGGAATCACTACGTCATGCTCCGGTAAGAATCCGAAGCGTTCTTGCAGAAATGGGAACTCCTTAGAAGTAGGGACTCTATCGTAACGGTCCATTATTGAAAAAGGAATGAATAATCGAAAAGGAAATTGACAGAATACCCAGATTGATACAACAAAGCCAAAATGGGGATATGAGGATGAGAAGCATGGGGGAAAAGTGGGGATTTTAAAGGCAAAAGTGGTCACAAACCGTTTCTCAATGGAACTAACACACATTGACGGCGCTACCAAAGGCATGTCAAACGATAGAACTAATCCAGGGCATACATGTGTTAAGATATAAACTCGAACAACGATGCTGTTAAGATGATGCATGCACCTATGAGTCTAAGGGACTTGTTAATGTATCCCTCATGAGAACATCAAAAATGAAGTCAAACTAACATCGGGCTTGGCCTGGTCAGAACCTAGTCTAAAGCAAATTTCAAGCCTTCGCCAACGCGAAGAGCGCTGATATGGCAGTTAAGGTGTTGAGTTGCGCCTTAACCCTTTCTTCAGTAAATTATACCCCGACAAACATGGGACCAATCAGAGAGTCCCACTCGCCCGTTAGACGATAGCCATGATCTTCGTAAACGTTGGGAAAATCTCCTTCTAGCAAATAAGAGAATGAGGCAAAATTTGTGATGGAGGACCCTCCAATATGGGTCCACCACGTCGCACCTCAGGAGGGAATCCTCAACAGAATCAGTTGAGGGACACACCTCTTAAACAGTATAAAAGGATTCTTTTTCCTCACGAAGAAGGGGATGAAATTCTCTCTTTTCTGTAATCTACTACAATCTCTCTCAAATCTCATACTAACTTGATCGTCGGAGCTTCGTCCGAGGAACCCCTCCCTGACATCAACTAACGATCTCTTTCCTGTTTTGTATTCTGATATCAGGGGAAGTCGTTTTCATAGGATTCACCCGACATATATATATATATATATATATATATATATATATATATATATATATAGGATTCACTGTGTGAATTCAGATTTACATTGTGAACCTGCACAGATTCACACTTTGAATTTGACAAAAAAAATAAATTTTTTTATCGCATTTGATATGATTGGAAAATGATAAAAAGCTATGAAATTCTGTATTTTTTGTTTTTTATTGAAAAAACTAATCTCTAAAAGTTGAAAAGAGGTTGGTTCCTTGGTTCCATGTTAAATAATGGTTCTTTATTAAACCTCATTATATATATATATATATATATATATATATATATATATATATATATATATATATATATATATATATATATATATATATATATATATAGACACACACACGATGGAAATCACACCCATAACAATGGGATGTGGTGTGTTTATATTAAAGCATAAAAACGATTACAAATAAATAGGCGATAACAACAAGATATACACCATTTTTAAAGTAGGATTTTATACGGCTAATATCCCCTCAAGCGAGAAGGTGTTGGACCAATACAAAAAATAGAGCAAAAGAAATCAAATTGTAGTATCTAAGCTATCATTATAAAATAGGTCTATGTATTTACCAATATACCATTAAGAGAAACCATCATTAACCTTATGGCTCATAATTTCTAGACCTAGTATCCTTTTATTGCTAGTGGAACTTAATACTAAACTTTTGAAAGACAACCATAACCTTCTAACCAGTTAGTATCCCCTAACACACTACACTTAAGATATATTTTTGTTACCAACTTTGCACTAGCATATTGATTCCCCTAAAGGTCTTTCTACGACACTGCCATACTCACAACTGATCACTTCCCATGTAGGGTCTATCATAATAATCAAAACCTTGAACACTTCCTCTAAAGGGCATATCATGGTCAAGCATGTTAATCCTTGACCACCCTATCCATGGATAATTAACACATAACATGCATATAATACATGACCTAAAACCTATCAGGCTCAACCCATAATATGTTGTGACACCATCTAGCCATTAGAATAACAAGCTCATGGTACAACACCATTCTTACTATCATCCCTCCTAACACTTCTCAACTGAAAAAACCAGGTTACTAATATGAAAAACCATGGACAATAGTGATCCCATCTACATTTATTAACATCCATCAATTTTTCTTCATCAAATTATTAGGGTCTGACCATAGTCTTATATCAACTGTAACTACATAATTGTCAAACACACGGCCCCTCTATTTGGATATAACTCTTTTAATTTCTTGGAAACTTGGATAACCTTCATTAGGTTTTTGGACAGTGTCTCGAATTCCCAAGCCTTTATAAGATAAGAACATACATGGAGACCCTAGACACAATCCTCAACCCCAGCCGAACCAACTATCCTTATGCACAATGCCAACACATCATCCTAGAACCAAACTTTATGCACCACAAGGTTACACATGGATAATTGAAGAAATTCTACTCCAACTAACTGAACTTCTATCATCACACGCCAAAACTATAGTAGTCTACAATAATCATAGAAACCAACCATAACAACATGAGTCCAACAAATATCAATCCATAATCTTTTCACATATTGGTGGATCACTAGCGAATTCCAACTGCATAATTTCCTGTTCATGTACACAAAACAAGACTATCCTTGACATCTCGAAAAATTATTGATGTTGATAGAGCGTGTGTGGCTAGCCACCGCATCAATGTGAGATGATAAATGAGATCAAGGTTGTCAAGCGAGTTTTCAAGGTTATTCACATCTCGTTTGTGATCCTCGGCATCCTAGTCACAAAAGTGAGAGCATAATCCGAGATTAAACATGCCATTGATTAGCTTTAATGAATCTCAAAAGATCTAGGAGTTTCATAAGATTGAAATAGGTAAAAGCCCTACCTACCTAAAATAGATTCGCATTTGATTAAGGCATCCCTCTTTAAAGTTTGAATAAAAAATATGGATCCTAGCCTTAATTTAAAATTTATGGGTTAATAATTAAGGATTAAAATCAACTAACTGGAATTCTCTTTTCTCCCATTATAGATGTCAAGTCAAGACAATAATGGTCTTCATTATTCTTATGGGAATGGTTTTCCTCTTTCATCTGAAGGTGATCTTCCACTTTCTAATCAAGGTGAAAATGTTTTTGTTTTCTTCGGGAAATGGTGGAACTAGACGTCGTGCTTCTCTAACTCTTCTTGTTACTCCACCAGTAACTCTCCCCACTTCACGTTTTCCTCGAGTTGATAGATATGAATATATTCAAGACCTATTAGCATGCAAACATCAAGATTTGGTCATTCTTTCACTTCCTAAGTCAAATGGTCAATTCATTGATAATTTTTATATGGGGAATATCTGCATGACCCTAATTAATCTGACCCAAATGTTGATTGTTGTTGAAGAAGAAATGCTTAAGAGGTCAAGCGAAGCAAAAGTGCTTGAAGGGTCTAATTCTAAAGTTTCCATGAACATTGACAATGGTGACAATCGTCGTCCAAAATAGATTTCTCTTCCTAATGGAAAGGGATCGGCCAAGGTCAAACCGTTTGATCATATGGTAAAGAGAAAGGCTAGTTATGAGATACTTCCATGTGTTAACCCTAAAGAGTCCATATGTTTCAATTGCCAATTGAAGGGACACTAGTTGCAAAGCTGCCCAAAGTATCTGAAAGATCATAGAAATGGTAAAGTCAAGTCGTGTGACTCTACTTTAGGTACATCCATTATCTAACTCCATTATTTTAATAAGTTCCTATTCATAGACTCTCAATACATGATGTGCCGGTCACATTTTGATGTTATTATAGGATCTAAAAGAAAGAAGGAAGCTTAAGAAGAGTAAGCTAAATCTGATCGTGAGAGATGAACATTGATCGAGTGGTTAGATGATTAGAATTTGGAGCTGCTAATTAGGAGTTATGATAACTTA